CGGGGCGCTGCGGCGGGGCCTTCGGGCGGTGGAACGGCCTTGGCGGGGGTCTGCGTGCGCCGTGCGCGTGGGGAGGCCGCGGCCCCACTGCACTAGCGTCAGCACCCGCCGCGGCCGCAGCATCAGCACCGCCAGCATCAGCACCCACTCCGCCGCCGCGTTCCCCCGCGCGGCCCCGGCCTCCGCACGCCCGGCTGGCCTGGTTTCGCTCGCCTTGGTGGTGGCGCGCGGTCCTGGCCGCCCGTGGTCGCGTGGCGGGATGCGCAGGTGCACCTGGAATCCTGACCCCCATCCCACCCCGGGGCCGCCCTGCTCTGGAGTTCAGGCGGTGCACGTCCAACGTGTTGTGTTTTATTTAGCAGCCACCCGGCTCGCCCCCGGACGGGCCCGGGTCCAGGGTGAGGGCGTGGACGCGGCCGGCTGGTCGCGAGCTCTGCGGAGCGGTCTAGCGTGGGGAACTTTTCTGGTAACGGTTTGTGAGGGCCGTGCCTGCTTTCGTGCTGGTTCTCGTCTGCCGGGAGGAGCTGGTGTCGGCTGGGCCCTTCGTTTTCAGCACTTTGAGCAGCGTGCGGGCTGCGGCGCTGCTTGCTTTATCAGTTCCCGTAGGCTGGGCATTTTCCTCCTGTCTCTAGTCCGGGGTTCTGCAAGGTGGCCCGTCATGGGAAACGCTCGTGGAAGGAAAAAGATAATGGGGACCCAGATTCTGCTTCGTTGCCCCCTTCTGACCCGCTAGAGGCGATGAGGGCATCACTCCTAAGGACCCGCAGGCAGGAAACACGGCTACATTCCACGGGAGCAGTCTACATCGCAACTGACACACGAAGTGGGGACAAATGGCTTATCCCTACCAATGAGCTATGTGAAAGTATCTGCCCTAGTTGTTTGATTCTTGTCTACCTTCCGTAGACCCTCTTCCTCAGTTTACCAGCCCTGCCTGAGCTCTGCTTTGTGTTCCGCACCCTGTTGTATGCGCAGCGTTCCCTGCATTCATTAGTTATCTCAAAGCAGGCGCCTCTGCTGCACCTGCATTACACTAACGTGATGTGTCAGTAACCCATCTATGCTCGAGAATCGAGACGCTGTCTGAACTCAGCCCGACTGAGCCCTGTCTGCAGGGCCCCGCCAGCCTGGAAGTCCGTTCACATTTCTTCTCCAAGTCTTAGCTAACATCTGGGAATGACATCCTGCACCCCACCTCTCCAGTGTGTTGAGTAGCTGTGTTTAAGGTGTGGACCATCGCTTGTCATCATCAGTCTCTCCTGGACAGTGAATGATAGCTTCTTGCTGCCCGAGGAAGATGGCAACACCACTTTAGACTGAGGTGTACTCAGCTCAATTCCCTGAGAGCACCTTGTGTCAGTACAAATATCTTAGAAAAGAGCCTAATGAGTTTCTTGGTGAATGGCTGGGCAGAGAGAGGGGTGTGTATGTGTGTTTGCACTCCAGAAGTCCTTCATCGTACTATATAAGCCTTGCCGAGACCTGACCTAAACTTTTAAGAATAAAAAAAAAAATCAAAGAGTTGTGTCGCTTTGTTCAGCCTCTGCCACTCCCTGGAACCTGCTCACCCCCCACCCTATCCATTAGCTGTGTCATCTTTGACTTGATTATAAAGTGTGGCTTTGTCCGTGTTGAGTTTATGGAGTTGTGCTTTGAAAAAAGGCCATTTAAAATTCCGTGTCTTGTAACCACATAGGATTGTTTTACTGGCTGAGATGAATCAACTTGTTTTCTAGTTTTGCTTCATAGAAACTAAGAGTTGAAGGATCAAGAATCTCAGTGTCTCCTCACCTTGTCTCCTCACCTTTGTCTCCTCACTTTTTTTCCTCACCTTGTTTCCTTACCTTGCCAAACTGAAAAAAAAAAAAAATTTCCCCAACATACTCACTTTCAAAGTGAAAACTCAAGATGACTTTCAATGCTGAGTTACTTCAGTGTATTGCTTTCCCATTATCTTCCCCATCAACATTCATGTGGAAAGAGTTCCTTAAATGGTTATTTTATTAAAATATCAGAAAGTATAGGAACATATGTGAAATTTCCACTGTTCATTTCCTACAGAGGATGATGAGGGAAAATTCCATTTTAATCATATACCATAGATTGAAAAAAAAATCAGTGGACTTTTTTTTAAAGTTCTTATATCGTCTGCCAGCCTAAATGGGTTGTAAATTACCTAAATTTCCATACACTTGGTCCAGTTTGGGTGTGTACCATCTACTGGGTGCCTGTGTGCTGGGTACTGATGTATACATTCGTGCTGTTTTTGTTTGATTGGGTTGTTTGAGTGGTAAAGGGGCACATGTTGATGTGTTAGCTGCAGAACTGGGATTTTACTTTACTGCTCTGCATGTGTCCTCCCTTTTTTCTAGCTACTGTTACTGCCCAGTGCTTCATTCACTGGGGAAAGGGAGGCTTTGCTCACTCTTGTAGAACCTTGTGAGCAAAACTCAAGAGTTTTCTCCAGGGAGATGTAGGCGCGTCTTTTATGGTCTGACATTCGTTGGTGTGGGGCCAGGAATCCTGGGTCTGAACATGAGCTGGGAAGGAAGTCACATCAGAGGTGGCCACACTTGCACGCCAGGTGGGGATGTGCTGGGGTCTGTCTAAACATTCTTTTTCCTAGATTATTTTTCTTCCTTTTTTTTTTAAAAAAAAAAAAAAAAACTTCTTCCTTTTGGAATTATGCATTTTTCTTTTTGGTTTCAAAGGACCTAGACATAATTTCATATGATTAAACATTATTTGACTTATGGGAAAAGTTTGTGTAGGAACACCAAGAAAATTGCAGAAACAGAAAACAGGAAACAAAACTTGGCATGAAAAACTGATTCAACAGATCAAATGTAAAAAAAAAAAAAAAAAAACCCAGTTATTGACTGACATGTAGAAGCAGAGAAGCAGCAGGTTCCTTTGTTAACTGGTCACTTGTTTCACTGGACTTAAAGGTGCTAGAAAGGAAGCTTTTTCTTGTTCTTTTTTTGTTTGTTTTGAGACAGGATCTCATGTAACTGAGGCTGGCCTTGAACTTCTGGTCTTCCTGTTTATCTCCCCAGTGAAGCACTACCATGCTCAGTGTATGCGGTGCTAGGATTGAACCTGGGCCTCATGCAGGTTAGGCAAGCATTCTACTACCAGAGCTACATCCTCAGCCCTTTCTTTTGGTAAAAAAAATGAGATGTTATCTCACTGTGTTACTCTAGCTGATTGGCCCTGAATTCCTGGGCTTTTGCTATTCTGCCTCACCTTCCCCAGTAACTGGGATTATAGGTGTATACCATCATGCCTGGCTGAGGTTGAATTCTTATTTTTGCAGACTTCAATGAAACTGCCTTGTCATGTAGCCTATGAGAGTGTTCGGCTTTTGTAGACGGGGCAGTCATAAAAAAAACAAAAACAAAAAAACATATGTTGTGCTTTAAACTTAATTTCTTTCAAATTGTTACCATGTCACATTCCAGCTATCTTTGCAACTTCTGCTGGTAGGAGTTGCTCGGTTCGTGCTTGGCTTTATTAATTAACATACCAGATTACTTCAGCTATTACTGATGTTCCAAAATAGAGCCCAATTTAGCATTTTCCCCAGTACATGAAAGTGCTCTAGAAAAATGGCAAAAAGAATACTTGAATGCCAGGTCTTCTCTCTGTTGGTCAAGGACTGAAATGATTGTCACCAAAGAGTGAAACCTTAAAGCAGTGACCAGTTGGAAGGTTTGTGGGTAGCATATATAGTCCCACTGGGACAACATAACAGACATTTCATTCTTGGGCAGTGTTCTCTCCCCTGCCCTTCTCCCCAGTCCCTGAGCTTTGCTTGGGGGTCCTGTTGCTACACCACGAGGAGGAAGACACATTTCTGCAGAGCTTCAGTATTATAACTGCCTTTGGAAGCTTAGAAAGGAGACTTAGGCATCTCTAATACCATCCAAACTTTAGGTACATTCTTTTCATTGAAAAAAAAAAATAGCTTACTCTGGAAAACAGGTGTGTGGAAGCTTATTTTCTTCCAGAACCATCTCTATATCTATCTGCTCTCACGTAAATATGTGGTATGAAAGCAGAAGGAGGACTATTAGAGAGGGGTGAGAAATGTGACCAATGAGGAGGATGGGAGGGACCGGGGAGGGTGGGAGGTGAATAAGAGCAAGGTATGATACATATATTTGGAAAATGTCATGATGAAATGCATTATTTTGTACACCCAAAAGTGAATAAAAAAGAAAAATGTCAAATGGCATCATTGCTTTCAGTGTAGGATTTTTTAATGTGTGGATTTGAATTTTAAGAATTCTTCAGAGTTAGAGAAATAGTTGGGCTTGAATGTTCTTTCCTTGAGTAATTCTAGATGTCAAGTTTAGCCAGGCAGCTAGGAAAGTAACACACACACACAAACACCCCTGTAAGATTATTCTAGATGCTAGTAAGGCATTTACAGTACCATAGTCAGCTGCTTAAATTCGACTTTATGAAGTGAAAGCTTAACAATGTGCCTATTTTGTTGCATATGGGACCCACTAGTTTTATATTTTTGTCATGGTTTAGAGGCTAGAAAGTGTTGGTTATTATGAGTCACTTTTTTTGCCTTCTTCCTCCCAGCCTCCTCCAAATGGGTTGTCTCTTTTTTTAGAACAGATTTTTTTTTTTTTTAAATAAAGCAGTGATTTATGGGATGGTTGTAGCATTCTTCAGAATTGCAGAGAGACTGTATTGGATAATCTTAGTTTTGATGTCACATATATTAACTGACTCACCTGTCCAAATCCTAGTCATATTATTAAGATAGTTTCTAACTCTTCTCATAATTGCTCAGGCTCCTTAAAAAAGCAAACACTT